GTGCCCCCCCCGGGAAACCCAGCGGGGGGCGGCGGGCCGGCACGGCCGCTCCGTCGGGGATGGTCCCGGCCGGCGCGGAGCGGAGAGGTCCGGGCAGGCCGGGCCGGGCCGGGCCGGGCTGGGGCAACGGAGGAGTCCCGGCGGAACAGAGATGCAGGGGGAAAAAAACCGCCAATAACACTTTAATATAGTTCTGTGAAAATCTGGGTAGTCGCTACCAGAATACACATTTATAAGCCATAAATAAAGCATACAGAAACGATAAATTAATCAGATCCAAATAGTTTACTCTCCCGGTAACACCAAGCGTTTGTTTCAATTACAACGATCTATCCTGACTTTTTTTTTTTTTTTTTTCCCCCCGTAGGTTTTTTTTTCCCCCCTCCCCCCTTTTCCCCCTTTTTACAACGTTACAAGACTTTTGGTCCTCGGGTTCAAACCTAGCATGGCTTTCACAGCGAAGGAGGGTTTCATTTCGTTTGTATTTATTTGTTGGTTTGTTTGTTTTTTCCCCATCACTTCCACACACACAAAAAAATAGATATATTTATACCTCCTGGCGACAACGACAACAAGAAAAAAAAAAAAAGCCCAACAGAACCTCCCTGGTCCCCTCACCCCCAGCCCACCCTTCCCCACCAAAACAAGGCAAACCAAGGGAATCGCAACTCCACTCCACCCCCCTCACCCCCCGGGAACGGGTTGGGGGGGACACCAACACTCCTGCCCTTGGATGAGACACTTTTGAGACACACAGCTGCTGTTTTCTGAACGGATGCAAACATCTGGAGCCAACGGAAAAAAAAATAGATAGATAGATATATATGTATATGTACCGTGCTCCACAGCGTTCATAGTCCATCGCTTTGCTGAGGGAGCTGCACGGGGGGCACAGTGGGGTTTTCCCCACTCACCAGGGAGGATTTTCCCCTCTGGCCCCTTTTAGGAGGAGTTCATGATGGGCCGGGAATACACACCTTGGTAGTAAGAAGTCTCTCCAGCTAAAGGGGAGGACTCTAAGCCGTTTTTGTTCGTTACGGGGCCCATGGCCAGGCTGCCGGGCATGGGTGAGGCGTAGCCCGAGTAGTGCATCACCTGCTCATAGGCCTTCAGGTCCATTTTGTGGTGGTGGTGGTGGTGGTGAGGGTGGTGGTGCTGTTGCTCAGTGGAGGACATCAGGTTGTTGATGGAGAAGGGGTGGTTGAAGGCGTAGTGGTGCTCGGGCTTGAGGTGGGCGTCGTGGGGCAGGCCAGCGTGTGAGGGGGCCAGGAGGTGCTGGCCCGGAGAGGTCGCCGGCTCCCCGGGGCTCAGCCCGGGGTTGCCCTTCAGGTCAGCCAGGGCACGCTTGTGGTCCTGGCACGGTGAGGAGCTGGCCGGGGACTCAGCACTGGCTGAGCCCTCCGAGCCCCCCGAGGAGCTGCCTTCCCCCAGGGGCTGGCTGGAGGGCTGCCCGGGTCCTTTCTTGCCCCCACCACCTGCCCCGCTGCCTGCCCCGCTGCTGTCCTTGGCAGCCAACTGATTCTCGCACTTGAAGCGCTTCTGGCGGCGCAGGGTGC